GTTTAGTAAAAACAAGGTCGTGGAGTAGGAAAGCAATGTCGTTTTGTCCAAAACAACATCGCGAGTTTGGTGAAATTGATGACTGGGTTGGAGGGTCGAGTGATTCAACATCACCGTGAAGTTGCGAGGTTGACGCAAAAATCAAACAGTGTCGTAGAATAAAAAAAACGACACTACTAGTCTGGGTGTGTAGTTGTGAATTTGACAAGGCTGTAGAACGACGTTGTTTAGTAGAGAACAACGTCGTAAGTTGTGAGCCACCATTGGGAGTAGAAAGTGGCATTGATATTGTGAGTTCAGCGGCGTCGCAAGGCTGGAAGCTCAGCGCTGCGGTGTGGTTTTGCTACACCGTCCACTACGGGAAAAAGGCCCTCTGGCAACCCCCATAAATGTGTTGCACAATGTCATAAAAGGGTTGTGAAATCCTAACGCAACACTTTCCGTAGGGTTGCATATAGTGGGGGTTGCAAAAGGAATAGGCAACTATTTTTTCATTTTTCGCAAGCAAAATAAAAAGTGTTGCGTGTTCTTACCTCTAACACAACACCACTTTAGGCAACACATTTAACAATTTTTGCGACACATTTAAGGAGCATAGTCATTGGTTGTTATAAGTTTTGCCAACACTCAAATTTCACTTGTGACGAGTCTAAATCATCACAAATGACTAACCAATTGTGACAACTTTGTTCGTAACGGATATCAGTATTTGCGTGACAATATTTTTGTCAATAAAAATCTCATTTGTGACAATTTAGTGCCGACACAAAAACCACCATTATGACATATCTAATTGTCACAAATAGTTATCATGCTTGACCATAGTTATGTCACAAATACACATTTTGAAATCAAAGGTATGATCCAGGGTCGGGTTGGTTGTCACTAAACTCAATATTAGTGACGAATCTATTGTCACGTATGTCACCCTATGTGTGAGGAATTCAGATCGTCACTCAAAATATACTTTTATGACTATATAATTTTTACAAAAGAATCATTATGTGACAAGATTTTTATCACAAAACAATATCATCGAGATGTCATTTCACAAATTGAAGCCATTGGTGATCAACGTTTCATCGCAAAAGGTTAAATTTGGTGACAACTATGGTGATCACTCAGACGCACCATTGGTGACGAAGTGAGCTATCACGAACGCTTTCTTTTGTGAAGATCTCGTCACATTTTTTATGGTTTGATGACTGATGAGTTGTCTTCAGTGACAAGAAATCAACATACGAATGTGGTCATTAGTGACATGTTTGATGCTTTTATGACGATTGTAGTGTTATAGAAATATATTGTGGCAAGAACGATGATTAAAATAAAGAAATTAAATTCACTAAATAACAGGAAAACACCTTAAACTCCAATTTGGCTACTAACCATTCTAACAATATTCCAAATCAATCAAAATCACAATGACAATTACAATCCTTCTTGTCTATTCTCTACTTGCATTTGTGTTCCATCCGAATTGTATTCATCTTCAGATCAAGAGATTGGGAACGAGTCTCATCATCTTAATCGTAATTGGCAAGTGGTCTTTTCCTTCCTTTTCCTTCGTAATCAGAGGGTACCTTTGCTGTCAAGACAAACAAAGAGCATATATATTCAATCATTCTAACGTGTGGAAACATGAGAAACCAAAAATCAGTTGCTACGTGCACCATACCTTGTAGCTAGAGCTAAGAGTCAAGCAGGAAGTTAAGGGCGATAAGACCTCGATGAATATTTACAGGCGGCTGCAAAGAGATGATGGGATGTAGAATTGGGATTTCGCGAGTGCCACAATGAAAGATGAAGGGTTTTAGTTTTTGCCGTCGCCGATAGGGGTTTTATTAAGGTTTTAATGAGGATTTCCTTCCCAGTATCACACGGCAAATCCTTCCCAATATTCCATAAGACTTAATTAGGTAATTATAAAAGGATGGAGAGGAAAGTATATAATATGAAATCTTTTATTATATTTCGTATAATAAGAGATCTCTTCTAAACCGCATTTTCGTTCCCTTTATCTATATCTTTTTTAATTGTATAGTTCACCTCTTTTTTAATTCCTTTTCCATTGTCTATTTTATCTCTATCTTTTTCTAATTGTCTAATTATATCCTTGTTTCATAATCGTGAGAGTTGAACTCCATGACTATGGAATACTATTTGGTTCAAATCTAAGTGACCTTATAGTTTAGATTTAGAGAATCAAAATCGGGGTTCACCATTAGAGATCAGTATATAGTATCATGGCCCAAATTCTAGTTAATTCACTTTCTAGATAGCAAAACTCATTTGACAAACGAAATGATTAATTTATGCCCTGAACTATACATATGTGGTTCAGTACAATTTCTAACTAGTTTTTGCCTTTGATGCGTTCGTTTAATAATCATCATTTTAGGTAGACAATTCATGTTAGAACGATGCCACTCATTATGATGGACCAGAAAACACATGAGCTTGCACAAAAATCATTCAAAATTTACTTTGATTCGAATGATTTAGGATTTCAGGATTTAGGGTTTAAAATTTGGGCTTTGGGGTTAGAGTTCAGAATTGAAGGTTTGGGGCTTAGGGTAATGCATTGATCTGATGTGATCTTATGTTATATCACCATATTTTAATAATACTACAAATTATAATTCAAAATTCAACATCTGGACACTAAATGTATAGTAGGTTGCAGAGGTGGCAAATGGATTGAATCCATGGATTGGAGCATGAATCCAAATGACATATAAACATTGGACTAATATGTAAATTTTCAAAATTATATGTACTAAAATGTAATAATGAAAATTTTTAGGTACCAAAATATAATTTTTCAATGATATTTTTCATATAAAAAATAAATTTTACATACCAGATCGTAAAGTATAAAAAGTATAGCTACTAAATTGTAATTTTCCAATGATCCATCAATCCAATTGAATTTGGATAAAATAGATTGGATTTAAATGGATTGGGTTAGTTGGATATTTAAGTGGATGGATTGGTTTGGTAGATTAAATTGCAAATTGCCACCTCTAGCTAGTAGGGTGTATAGTATGTACTATTTTTATGAGTGCACTGAAGAAGCCATATAGCTCAAATATAAAGTGTCATGACCATGGTTCAAAAAGGCTCGCTTAATCTTACGTTAGTCATGTCTTGGCACTAAACAATGTCAAAATGCCTCGCTTAGAAGTTTCGCGCCTAGTTGGGTGTTAGTAATGGATAGGTTTCTAACATTAGGTATTGATAACATATCAATGTCACCTTAGTATCTTTTAGAAATAATTAGATGGTCTTGACATCGAAGGAGGAAATTAATATCAACTACAAAATTAATTTTTTTCTAAATATATTTAATATTTCTAGAATTTTGTCAGCTATTGAGTTATGTTTTTTTGAATTTGTAAGCTATTTCTCATATTATTAATAGTTAAGTAATCTATAAATCATTTTATGTGAGGAAGTATTGTAAATTATTATTTCATTCATCATGCAGTGCAATTAACTATTTTCTTCCAATGCATAGACACGCTTAGTCTATGTATATCAGTATATAAATGTTAAGCGCTAGACATAACCTCAACGCGCGCCTTATGTCTAACGCTTTCTTGAATCTTAACCATAACAAAGGAAGAAAGAAGCTCATCATAGACGATTATTAAAATGCCTCAACGATTGAGATGTGAATAAGTTAGGTGATGGTGATCATATATAGTTCCTAAAACATTCAAAAGCAAAATAGGCTCATAAACTTTTTTGTTCCTAGGATTTTTTTAACGATGTGTGATCAGTATTAATTATGCTATCAAATATTTAGCGTCCAATTATTTAATTTACCATTTCAAAATTTCCATCTTATTTAGGTAGGCGATAATTAAAAGATATCGTTGACAAAGAAGATATAGAACAGTAGAACTTAATCTCTTAATTAGAAATTAAAGGCGGCAGAAAGTGATGAAAGAAAAGAGCGCCAATGGTTGCCGCCAAAATTCTCAAACATGGGAATCATGAACTATAAATAAATTTGCTTTCCTCGTGACACCGCAATTCTGGAACAATATTTTTTGCTGCTGATTTTTGTTACTTGGCAAACAAACTATTATGTTGTGGAGATCGTATATAGTTCTGTTTTGTGACTGTTTCATTTTTAAGCAGTTCAACATCCTTTAATTTCTTTGTAGGTTGTTGCAATTCATTGATTACCCTGTTTGGTGTTGTTTACTGTCCTGGGGGCCTGTGCTGCTACTGTTCCATCTGCGATTGTTTGGCGCAAGGGGCCTGTGTTGGTACATCCTGCGGCTTCGTGTTGATTGCTGATTCACAGTTGTTGTATTTATATTTGGATATGGCTATGCTGCTGTTTGTAATCCAGCCCTGCTGCTTGATAATTCTACGATTTGTATTTATTAAGTTGAGTAGCATTGATTTTTTGTGTTGTGAAAATACCTCTATTTTTATGGAGTTCTTGAGAGGCTTTTAGTTGTCCAATGAAGCAAATTTCACTAATTCATTCCTTTCTATATTTTCCTTATGCACTAAACCTTCATGTTGTTAGTTTTGGTTCTTCCTCCATCCTAAAAGAAAGAACCACAATTTAGCTTCCGTTGCTTTTTTAGTTCATTTAGCAACCTCTGGATTTGAGCTTTTAGGTGTTTCGATGATTCATATTGCATAAAAGTTCAGAATCACAGAGACGGGGACAGGAAAATTTGCAAGGAGCAGTCCCAATATATCCTCTCTTACTCTAAACATTTCTTCATTTTTTTGTCGATCCGAATTAGTACTTTGTATAAACATTTGGAATGATAAAATTGATGTTTTTTGCAACATAATAATAAAAGGTTGCGTAAACTATACCATTAGGCAACACATAAATAATTTGTGTTGCATGTAATAGAAAATTGCAACACATAACTAATTTGTGTTACGTAAACTACTCAATACGCAACCCCAATAAAAAGTGTTATCCTTGTATACATAACGCAACGCTTTCAAATACTGTTGCAATCCAAGTGTTGTAGGAAGCAATTTTTCCCGTAGTGGTCGTTTTATGGACAAGGATGTCGAATGTCTGGCTTTAGGAGCCAGGGTGGAGTATCGAACAGTGGTGAATAGCTACAATGTTGGCTCCGCATCGTTTTGCTTAAGTCTCTACAGAGAAGTTTCACACTCGTGGGAATTACGCGCCAAGGTGGAGGTTACCATCACAGTTGAAGACTACAACTTCGTGAAGAAGGATGGAGCACGCGGGAGACAAAGGCGAGGCGGTTTCACAGCATGAAGACTACGAAAGTGATTTTGATAAAAGCACCAGAGCAAGGAGAGAGATAGGGGAGAACCAAAAATCAACACAGATAAACTCTGTCAAAATTTTACATTTTCTGTGTAACTCCTCCGCGGAGCTCTCCTTCTAGAAAGGATGTCCATAATTGGTATAAGTATCCGTAGTCGCGGAGCTCTCCACAGGAATCTCCATAAGAGTAGCGGTAACGTAGATTCCCAAAACTCAAACACGCTCTTTCGAACATTGTTTGGAGAGGTGTGAACCAAGTAACGGTCAGGTTGGTTAGAAGTCAGTGGTGCATCAGTTCAATCAAATCAACACCGTCGTTTGGCACGCCAGCGGTGGTATTTGGTTTCCACAACGAAACAATCAAATCAACACCGTCCGAAACCAATTCGGTACCGACGGTGGATATTTGATTTCGTGGGAAACATGAGATAACTATACTGACTACTCCTCCTATAGCCTTGTCATATGACGGTGTTAGATGAAAACTCATGGGAGTGACTAACAATGTACTTTTAATCCAAGTTCGGTGGTTTAGTTGTATTAATATTGTGTTTAGTGGTAAACATAAATTTCTTTGACAAGTTTAGTGACCAACGATAAATTTTACCTATCGGAGGAGAAACAAGGGAAAGAACTCTGATTCGAGAATTCCTGTGAATTGATTTAAATCCAAGTTGAAACGGTTTAGATAGAGGTGGACAACGTGACGGGACTGGGTACTCATCCCATTTAAAACGGGTATCCAGTCCCATTTGGAAAGAAAACTCCATCCCATACACCAAACCCGTAAAAAAAAATTTACGAGTATTTGATTACCCGTAACCCTAAAAAAATGGGACGGCTACGGGTATTTCCAAATACCCTTTCCCCGATGCCCATTTAGAGCGTGTTGGTGGTCTTTAATTACACGAATTGGGCTATCTAAGTCCAAACTGTAGCCCTTAACTTGTGGTGTTGGACTTGCCAACTTATCAGACCATCTGGGCTCTAGTTTATTTCCAAGGGGAAAAGAAAGTGACGAGCCCAATCGCAAAAGGTTATCTAGCTAAAGCCCGGTCCAAATCAACCTTCATCTCCCAACGGTTGGCAAAAACTATCGAGAGGAAAACGTCGAGGAAGTCAAAAAGTATCTGAAGATACAGTATCATTCATAGGCTAAGTCATCGTAACTCGTAAGGCACTGTTAATGTGACGTTATGGCTCCGATTCATCGGCGGGCCGGGCAGCCGACCACTTAATTTCCGGCTAACTTGCCAACTTCCCAACCAATTCGCCGGTCGATCAAATTCTATTAGTCAAACCCTCCCATCCTTATCTATCTAACTCTTAACAGAACTAGCAACCTAGCAGCAAGAAATTACTCCTCCTAATGTATTATATATGTACCACTACCACAATCCACATGCACTTTAATTTAAAGTCAAAAGTTCGGTCTGACTTCCTGCTTCTTAGCCACGCAGTTAGCTGGTTGACGAGATCAATCTGGTTATTTGTTGAAGGTGGCTAACAATTTGTCGTCACATCCTTGCATCAAAAGTAATTAACTAGGCATTAGGTTTTTCCCAGTTACGTCAGGTGATGGAATAGAGCGTAAAGCAGTCTTAAGACTTGGCTAGCTGTTTATTTACCAGTATTATTAACTAGTAGGGTTGAAACCATGCTAAACTCAACTCTGGTGCTGCCACCATCTCAAAAAAATCCGGCTATTCGGTCAATTAAGTATCTAACTTGATCTGATCAAATCCAATTCTCCTTTGGTACTATTATATGGCCCGTACAGGTAGGACCGAGTCAGGCTGAACCGAGCAAGTGGATCAGCTCACATCAATATATATCAAGGTTGTCAACCCGCAGGTCAGGGTCGACCCGTGGGTTGACCCACTTTGACCCTGACCCGGTGAGAAAAACGAGCCGCACGCACCCGCCGGGTCGACCGCTATAAGATACCGGGTTGGAGGTCAAATTGTGCCATTTTTTCTTTGTTTTGCGAAATGCGCCTATTTTTCGATTTTTCTTTTCGCCTAACTCAATCTTTGGAATCCTAAGTTGAACATTTGAATATTAATGTTATATAACTGTGTGTGAATTTTCACTATATGTTGAATCTAAGTATGAAATGTTATTTTGGTGTAATATTATATGTTATAACTCATATGTTAGATGAGGTTTGATATAATTTATCAGGATAAGTACAATATAATGACGCTTTCCATATTTCCGGGCTAAAACGGGTGACCCATTAACCCTTAACCCACTAGCTCAACCGGGTCTGGGTCAACCAGTGGGTTGACAACCTTGATAAATATACTATACTGGTTTTTTTATGTTATATTTTGGTATCCTAACTTTTATTTTTTACAATTTAGAAACTAGACTTATTAGTTATTACAACAAGGTCAATGCATTTTTGTGGTAAAATTATATTTTAGTACTTTTATGTTTTTTTTACCGTATCTAAACTTTTACAATTTTACAAAAAAAAATTGATGTGTAGGTATGAAAACCCCAAGAGAAAGGTATTTATCTTTATTTGATTTCATTTTATCAATTTTTCGAATTCGAAACGATTGTCCATACCATACTCATCCCACAATTTGATATGAATTACTCGTAAATCGTTGATTTAGATTATGGGAAAAAATACATGTATAGGGAATATTAGGTATTAATTAGTTCTATATGAACTAAAAATTGTATCAAATACACTATATTATCCCTTATTGAAATTTTAGTTTTCATAACACTAAATGTTGCTAGCTTGCAGCCAGACTTACCGCCTTAGTAATTAGGCATCTAGTTAGCTAGCAGCCAGCCGATCGATAATGTCATATAATCAATTGGATGGCAAGTTGGTTCCAGCTATATTTATTCATGTAGATGTAAGGTTGCCTCATGAACTAGACAATCAAATATTCAATGCATTGTGGATGCACTATTATAGATAGATGGAACAAGCTAATAAACCCAAAAAGGCCAAACTTAAATATAAGGAAGTACATTATTTATTGTGGTAAACTGTTAAAACTATTATAATGTCTTACCTTCCATCAATCTACAATTACAAAATAAATAACCATTAATAAAGATAAAATAATAAAAATAAAAATTGTAACACATCCTCTAGTTCTGCCAGCCACAGAACTGGAATATATAGTAATGTTACGTTCTCTTCTGTGATATATATCCCCCTCCCCAAATTAATCTCAGTTTAGCGGTTTGTTAAAATCATTAATTTTTGTAAGGATATATATATAGATAATAAATATTAAAATTATCTATAAAATCAATAAATCAAATTGAGTTTTTTTTTGGCACTCTAAATAAAAAAAAACTTATGATAATTGTTTTTATCAGATTAATCTACCCATCAAGCTCGCAGTGGAAAATAGGTGAAGCGAATGAATTGAGGTCTCCGAAGAGGAGTTCGTCGCCTTCGATGCCGCCGGAATCCTGGCAGTCGAAGTAGGTCTGGATGTCCTCCGGGAAGCTCCGCCGCGGGATTCGGTGATCGGATTCAGACACCTCCCTCGGCGGCGTCGAATATTGGCAGTCATCGGCGGTGCAATTTGTTGAACTTCTCTCCAGCATTTCCTTGAACTTGGACGATTGCAGCAGAAGCCCTAAAGCCGACGACGAAGATGACGCCGATGATGACGACGACGACGACGACCCGCCGTTGCCCCACGCGGGCGGCGTGATGGTTCCCGGGGAGCTATCAGGTGTGGCGGGTAGCTGGTGGTTATGGTGGTCGTCAGTGATAACGCTTTGGAGCGGCGAATGGACGGTTACAGCGTCGTCGCCGTTAGGGTTCTGTTGGGAGGCGTCGGCGGCAGGTGTTTGGCTGTTTGGGCGCAGCGATTTGATGTAACGGCTCAGGTCGAAGTTTGTGACGGCGTTCAGCCCCCTGTACTCTATGGCTGCCATGTCATACGCTGTGGCTGCTTCTTCTTGAGTGGCTGCAAAGGTGACGAAATGATAGTTATATATCGATATATATTATTTCGTAAACAATTATTCATGTTATATATTTCATAAAAAAAATTCTAATCTAATGTCAATATTATAGTTATTGCGTAGTTAAAAGTGGCATTTTTAATAGGGCAATGTCTATTTTTTATCCAAATCTTTTTCATATTCTTTTATATCATCCAAACCTATTGAAATACTAAGAATTATCTAAATGTTAACTTCCACTCTTCCGGTTAGCAATTTTATTAGTAATATTGACTTGGCAACATGATAATGACTTGGAAGAGATACACGAATGTCAAAATTTCAATATTTTAGTATTTTAACTGAGAAAAGAGTTACAAAATTATTAACGATAACATAAAAATGACTAATATTTTGATGCATTATGAAATATTTGACTAATTAATAGAATTTTAATAGATTTGGATAATATAAAAAAATTCGAAAATTTTTTGGATAAAAAATAGACATTACCGTAATAAGAAAAGAAAGAATAGGAGTAATGAATTTGAGCATGAATATATTGGTGGAGTGGAATTGTCGAATGGTTGCCGTCAAAGGGTTGTCCATCTAAAGGAGCAATTAAAAGCCCAAATGAAAACAAAACGGGGAAAGTATATATATTGCTTGAGTGGAAGTCTGAAATGTGAATTAAATGCTGAGGAAGCAAGCAGTTGGGGTTTGGTGATCTGAATTCCAACTAACTCGATTTGATTGCTATATTTTTACTACTACTTCCACTTCTTTGTACGTTTCATGACGTTTGTAAGTTTGAAAACAAAGCCCTTGGTAGGAGGAGGAGGAGTACGTAGGCATACAAGGTTGAAGCAGAGAAATGTGCAACTTAATTATGTCAAACCCTCATCCTGATGATAGAGATTAGGTTTTCATCTCTTAATTTAATCATCAAATGTCTAAACACAATATATAAAAACGTAAAATATAATATTGGCGTACCATAAGTTCCAAGGTAGAGATACTTGTTGCCGAAAACTCGACCAATCCGAGCTTCCCATCTCCCATTATGGTGGTGTCTGCACAATTTTTAGGGTCTCATTCAAATTTCTATATCGACCATATGAAAGCCCCACTCCAAGCTTGTGTACCAAATTATATATATGGCCAATAATAACTTCACATTCCCTAAGAGTGTGTGAACAAAGTAGAAAAGAAGAAACAACAGGGAAAATTTTATTTGTTAAAAAAAAACTTAATTAAACCGATTTTAAAATACCGGAATACCATAGTTTATTTTAGAATATTTTAAGGTAGTCATGAATCGAACCAAAGAAAATTAATATGACCGTTTACATTAATGCCATTTTCCTATGCTCATTCAATTTTCACCAATTTTCAACAACTTTCTTCCTCTACCTGTGCCATTTTCTTACTCTTCCTCATTAATTTGGAGACTTGGAGAGTGACCATTCGATCTTGACTATTATCCAAGGGAGGTAGGGAGAAGCCAAAAATATGGTTGGTTGGTTGGAAGAAGAAATTTAGTAAGTAGAGGTGACGTGTCATACTCTCCCAAATCTCTTGGGATTAATGGTATGCCACCCTTTTTGGCCTTTCATCTGATTTTGGTAGCTTTAATTGATCCCCATTATCTTTTGCACAAATAAATGATCATGCAATTAATCTCTGAAAATAAAGCAAAACCATAACATATACTGTGGATTATTTACTTATTATTATTTTTGTTACCTTGCCACGCCTCTGTACTTGGAGACGCCGCGGGAGAAGCCGCTACTTTTTCTGCAAATTCGGTTCCATAATTAATTACGGCGATAATGTATAATTATTATTTATTGTAATTAATTGTCTATAGAAGTGTTTTACAAAAATAATATTATCAAGAATGCATACCTTCTCAGAGAACTGATGTATTCTTCTTTGGACAATCCCTCCATATCTCTGAACTCATTCTCGTAGGTCGCCAACTGCCATACCATATATACGACTTGTAATTATTTACTAATTAAGACAATAGTCCTTATATCTATAAATATAATTATATTATGTAAGCTAAAAAATATAATTTCACGGGGCAGGGCAGATGGTAATTAGTATTACAGGGAAATTAAGGATGGTGTCTTGTCCCCAGTACTTCAATGCTGCCAAGTCATAGGCATGTGCCGCAGCTTCTTCATCATCGTACGCCCCTATACCCATACGTTACCAAAATAATAATACACGTATTTTTATTAGGGAAAAAAATACCAGCGGAAAAAGAAAGAGAAAGACAAATGAATAAGTAAAAGAAATTCATTCAATTATAAAGAAAAAGTAAAAAAAAAAGAACGAGAATGACAGCATTAGCCAGGTACGTACCTAAATACACTGTGTACAAAATTATATGTATTCGTATTCCATTAAATTCCATTTCCCCCGGCGCGAGTTGAGAACCAGAACCGGAAAAAGGGAAACAAATAAAAAAAAAAACGGAACACAGAAATAACAAATTCATCAGTCAACAACAACTGAAAAGTAATCAAAAGACGGAGGTCGGCGGCCAAAGACAGTAAAAAAAATGGATCGGAGGAGGGTTTGTTCTATTGGGATGGATTCAATCAAGTGGTTTTTGGTGGTAAATTTTCAACAGGTTAATTATTTGATGGATGGATAATAATATTACCTTGCCTGCCCTTTTTGTTCTGGGACTCATTCCAGCAGTTCTTATCCCACAAATGGGCTTCGTACCGTCCAGTCCACCGGTGCCTGCGAATCACATCACCGCCGGCGCCAACCCATAATTAATAAATAATTCCACAACTCTCCATTAACATCCACTTACTTAATTGTGAGAAATTATTAGATATAAAGAAAAAAGGATGATGATAATTAATTAATTACCTGGTGACGCCTCTGTAGACGGAGCTGCGCTTTGGAGGGGAATCTCTTGGCACGCTCTTTCTCGTCCTTTTTTTACCCGCCGCTGCCACCTTCTCTTTCTTGATCTCCTTCTTAATAGCTCCTTTCCCGGCTGCAACTGCTGTACTACAAGTGTTTTTCTTTGAGACTTTCGCCATTAATTAAAGGTTAGCGCGCGCCGATCAGAAGGAGAAGTTTCAGGGTGAGTAAGTGACGGTCAGAGAGAGAGGAAGAAGATCGAGCCACGAGGAGAAGGAAAAAGGAAGGAAAGGAGTTGTGGTTGTTACTATAATTTGCTAGCTTCTCTCTGGCTCTGTTGGTGGTTCGCCCCGGTGGAGTAGGGAGTATATAGGAAGGTTAGTTTAAAAAGAGTTGAATGACAAGTTAAAAAAAAGAGAGCAAGAGGAGAGCCGGCTGCAGGGTCGCTCGCTGAGCTGACTGTGGAAATTCGATTCAATTCTCCCCCATTAAATTCAAAGCCAATTTAATTTAATGGAAAACGGAAGCGGGGTAAAAAAAACTTAAAAAAAATATTGGTATGTGACGTCGTCGTTTGTTATATTGGCCGTCTTCTAACCCTTCGTCTTTTTGTTTTCTGTTCTCTTCTTCTTGCCCTTCTCTACATATGTGGGTGTATGTATCTAACTTGCTCCTTTGGTTTTTCATTTGGGGCACCATCTTAATTAATTACTCTATTTTAATTTCTACTTTTTTTTTCTTCCTTCCTTCCTTAAGTGCACTTTACATTATCTTAATGTACAGTGATTATGATGATGATGATGTTGGTTTGTCGTTACAATAAGTTTATAATCATCAACCGTTTATTATTGTTGTGAAACGGCACATGATGGACTAAAAAAAAAAAGTGTAATATTCGAGACTAGATATATGTATAACATTTCTATTTTCTAACACAAAAGATTAACATTTTTGGGATGGGGAAGAGTTTTTGCAGGGCCGCCATATGGCGATGTGTATATACAACGAGCTAGGGTGGATAGTAGCCTAGAAAGCAAGGACGCGGGGATGAATGATCTTCCATATACACACAAAAACACATTAGAGAAAATCAATATATTGGAGCAAACAATCTATACCTAGAGGTCCAAGATGCGTTTCACAGTTTGGATCAACATCCTTCCTTACAGTTTTTATTGATTTCGAAGTTTTGGAATTCGATATTTGTGTGCTTATTCTTCTCGTCCTCTTCGTGTGATCGTGAGGAGATCATTTATTTTGCCCGACGAAACGCTTGAAGATATAACGCAATCAAGTTACTAGACAAAAGAGATATAGCAAACCTCTAAATTATGGGCCGGGAAGCCTTTGTGTGGTGGCCGGATTCTCACTCACTAGCGTTCAACGATGATCAACATCCACTAAGGGAGTGATTTGGTTGGCATAGACTGTCATACCGTTGGTTCTTAAGTACGTCGTCCCTGACTTTTGATTTTTTATTGAAACAGACGTCTCTGACTACTCGTCCTTTTATACGTGGTGAGATTAATTGTCAATCACTCATTATCAAGGATGACATCCACTACACATGATGAAGAGTGGTTGTACTGGCGGGCACTGGTCATCTTGTTATAGTTGTCAGGTTGGTGTCGAATACACGGCCATGGAGACTAGAATCGAGATAGTATGGCACTGGTCACGTTGTTATAATTGTCGGGTTGGTGTCAAATAGACTATAATACAGATTAAAATTAAGATAGTATAATTTTAACATCGCTTACCTTATCATAGGATTCGAATTATGGTCAAATGAAACCATGGCGAACATGGAATGATCAAGCGGGCGTCAACCATGACATGATGGCATGGCAATGTCTTGGCCTAAATCTGAAGTACTCTGCAATCAATGGCTACCTTGCAAGTTGTAAAGGTTCATTCAGTAGGCCACGTCGTTAACCGAAAATACTGAATCAAATTACACAGGTCACTTGTTTGTCAGGGTCCAAGAGATTCCGATGGTTCTCCACATACAAAACAAACAAGTACAAAGGAAGCTAGTTATTAAGTTGTTCAGATGGATAAGTAGTTATGCCGAAAAATAAGAACTTTTACATTCAAACAGACAGGCCGAGTATATATCTTCAGAGTTCTATACATGTCGCTCCACCCTAGTAGAGTACGTTACATTCTGCAACCTGAAGATGAACAAGAAGGAAGCATTCACCAGAAATCGGAGTCTCCATCTAGCCGCAGCACGAGCCACAAGCAGGCAAGGAACCTGCAAGTTAGTACCAGAGGTTCTCGTTAAATAATATACTATATAGTTAAAGAACTTGGAATGATCCAAGTAGGAAATACGGGTGGCGAGCTTACTGTGATCACCACCACGAACGTCCCTCAGTCCTCGAACGTTGTCAAGTCCTCCTCTCGGCGGTCCACCCGGCCCACCACCATATGGTCCACTTCCAGGACCTCCAGGTCCTCCGCCGTCCCATTTCTTGCTACCACCAGATCCTTTTCGGTAAGCATCTGATTTTTCCATCTGGAGAAAGAACAAATTTAAGTGCCTTATTATTACCATAACACCGGAGCAGGCCACCTCCAACGGTGATTCCTGGTCGCATGGAGATGTTTCCAGATATGGCAATGAGGAAATGAAAATTCTTACTGAAAACATGGTAGCGAAGAACACAGAAATCAAGTTGATGATAGCCCAAAAGAAGTCTGTGAATGTCTTCAGTCGCCATAAGGATTTCTTGGATTTCACAACACCTGAAATAAAAAGAACCAAAACTGTTGGATATATCTTACTAATGATAGAAGAAATGAAGGTGCAAAAGGCCCAGATTGAAGTTCACTCCGATCATCTTACTCCTATGAGTTTTATGAAACTAAACCTAACCAGAGAACAAACAGTTAGAAATTGGATAATTGATGCCAGAAAGTTCTGTATACAAACTAGTAGTTCATACACGGCTACATCTAAATCAGAAAACTGTGAAAGTTTCGACTACTGCAAGAAGAACTCAAAAATGGAAGCAGACAGTCGATTGTTAGCAAATAGACCAACTTCCAATCTTTTTAAAGGATCAGCAATCATCAAATTTATCAACTTCTATCAAGGTGCGGCATTACTGAAACCAGAAACTCAGGATCCATGCTCAACTTTTCAATTGCTACTTGTTAGTGATCAAATACAGCTTCGGAAAGAATCAGGCATCCCAAGATTGACAAGTCAAACCAGCAGATAAGGTACAAGAAGATCACAACTGTTTGCATGACCTGAGCCCAGCAAATGAACAGCTTGATACATACTAGGCATGAAGTAAATCTGAAGATGATCAACATGGAAAGTAACATATCTAAAATTGATCACCGTTTATAGCCTTCTTTCAACCATTTATCAAAAGGGAAGTACATAAAAAAGAAACATGCTGATTTGAATAACACCTTGTAACATCACAAGTTCGTGAACAAACAACATGGACAGATAAAGAAGTCAGCTTGCTGAGACAAGAGTGACTGCACCTATTAGGAAATAAGACAACTAATCAGGAAATCTTATCAATTCTCCACATGAAAAAACACTTTCTCCTCGAGCCATAGTCTCTTCTAACCAGTAACCACCATAGTTACAAAATACCAATTAGTAAAATTCGCAACTTTTGAGAGAGAACCCATCCAACCTCCTACCCACCGGAACTTCTGGAATTCAACCAGCATATTCTCCGCTAGGTCTCATCAGACAACTAGAATGAATCCGACCAACAAACTGGACCTATCAGATAACCCAACCAATAGGAGACGTACGCAGAACCAAGATGATATAAGAAGGGCAAGGACAAGGCCACTCGGATCAAGCTAAATCCTTTGTTCTAGATACAGTTCTATAGGGTTCAGATCGATACCAATTCAGAATTTCCCAATATTTTCCAACACGCAATCTGATCCTGAAACTTTGCTCGACAATCATTAATTTCAAACTACTTCCATCCCATCAAAGCCAATTTCCTCATCCACATACAAGATATTCAATGTTAGAAGAACTTAATCACAAGGCAGAATGTATTTGAGGTCTTGGACCGATGATCTGGTAAATGTGAGATATGTAATCCCTAAGTTGGAGATACCGGAAAGGAAACATTAACAATCAAAATTCGCAGGGAACCGCATCAGCGAAACCGAAAGAGACGATAATCTGATAAAAGATAACAAGAGGAGGGAGCGACGACCTACCTCGTTCGACGTACGCCATTGCTGCCAATTTCCAGAGTTGTAGAGAAAAGGTTCTGGGCCAGTGGTTACGGAATTTAATTAAACAGGGTCCTCCCGGTTTTATAGAAGGTGAGATGATACGAGGAGCTACACAGCCAACAGTTCCACGTGTCTCCTGGCGATTGGTTATCATACAACTTAATGACGAATTCGTGATGGATTGCTAACTTGAACCTTAAGAGACCATACATTGTTTGAGTTAATTGTATCGCTTACCATATAAGTTATGGTTTCGTTGCACAATGATCACTTAAAGGTTGTTAATTGCAGCTATACGGTATAAATAAGTTTTTAGTTGCATCCTTAAATGCATAGTCCATGAAACCGTACCGGAGACCGTATCTGGAAAGTCAGTGGTAGGGTATTTTATGGTAAAACCGTGGTTTAACCGTAGTTCAACCGTTATACCGGTAAATGTCGCATATCGGTTTAGCCTCCGATACTGGTATTTCGTGGTTGAACCGCCGGTACGGTACGGTTTAATGGACACTGCTTAAATGCCACATTTGATCACTAAGATTACTAAATCGTGTCATGTTTAGTCAATAGAAAAATTTAATATCAATTTTGGTCACTCGAATTACTAAAACATGTCACATTTAGTCACTCTCTTGTTAGTCTCCGTCCAACTCCAGTCACTCGAATTACTGAAACATGTCACACTTAGTCACTCTCCCGCTAGTTCTCGTCCAACTCCATTAACGGGAGAGTGACTAAATGTGACATGTTTTAGTAATTCGAGTGACCAAAATTGATATTAAATTTTTCTAGTGACTAAAAATGACACGATTTAGTAATCTTAGAGACCAAATGTGGCATTTACTCTTAAACTTAATAATGGGTACCAAATAAACTTTTTGCTTGCCATGCGAGCATTTCAATTCAACCCGTGGAGGGCCACAAAGATCCAAGTGTTCCCTTTGGAATACTGGATTTCCCTCTGAGCGTTGCACCACGTACAACATTAGTCACTATTCATCACAACTCAAACTCGACTCTCTGGTCCGGATGCGCTATTGACTTCGTCCAATTCATTTTATGATCGCTTCTTCTTTCACTTTTCAATTCCTGCTTCAATGTCGTTGAACGACTTGTTGAGGAGCGTTGATGAAACCCCCATTGTCAATCTCAACGTCAACAGGGGACTTTGGGCAGAAAAGAGAGAAAGAAAACTTAACTAGGTTTATTATCCTCGCTTGTTGATGATTATTATATATTCTATTATCTCTTTTCTCTATAGCACCCTCTTCTCTTATTCCTGTGATGCCACTGTAAAGCTTCCTGACTTTCAGACTTGAGCCAAAATCTTCGGGGTGAAAGCAAAACCAAGATATGTATTAGTTGAATCAATCTGGGCATCTGGGGCTCGGGGCACACGAGAAGCAAGCTCTTCAGAAAGCCTTCTATACGTGGTGCAGCCTTCAGTCCCGTGTGCATCACTTTAACTTAATAGATTAATTTTCCCACCTCCCCTAATTTCACCTTGATATGTCAATGTTCAGTTACTCGGAGCTGTTTTTCCTTTTTTGACGACGAATCTCGGACGATATTTGGGAGTTCCAGTGATCCACGACCGTGTATACAAAGCAACCTCCGTAGGGCTTATAGACAGAATTGACAGCTGACTAGCAGGGTGGAAGGTGTCGACCATGTCGCTACCGGCGAGGATCACACTGGCTCGAGACATAAGGATTCTAGCTTGCCCACTTAGAGCAGATGGAGATTCTCATACGAGGAAAAGCGACACTCGACATCTATTAAACAACACCAAGAACAAAGTCATACCATGCCTTCACTCTATCGACATAGGTTTTTCCTTCTTTTTTACAGGACTTCTCCCTTTGTCTTGTGTAGAATAGTTTCTTTCTTTGCCCAAACTTCTCTTTTCTCGACTTCAAGTCGAAGAAAGTGTTTCAACTCTCCATGTTTCTTCATTTGGAACATTATGGATAGATTCCCTCGAGTTTGGTTAATTTCTTCTTTATCAGCTCCAATCACGATCAAGTCATCAACATAAATAGCACAATTGCTAAATTTTCCTCTAGCTTCTAAAGAAACAAACTTGAATATGATGGAGAGACAGAGTATTCACATAGGAGTAGAAATTCTCCAATCTTCTCGTACCATGCTCGAGGCGCATTTTTCAAACCATATAGGGATTTTATTGACTTATAGACATAGTCTAAGACTCTAAGTTTGTGCTCACAAAACCTCTAGGTTGTTACATGTAGATCTCTTTATCAAGCTCCCCGTGTAGGAAAATATTCTTCACATCTAGCTTCCACATCTCCAAGAAATACTAGTTGTAAGTGCTAAGAGAACGCGAATAGTTGTGATCTTGGCAACTGGACTAAACGTTTTGTGATAATCCAGCCCATAGTGTTCAAAATCCACAAGCCACCAATCGAGTCTTGAAACGCTCAATTTATTCATCTGATTAAGTGTTCACTATGTAAACCCATTTGCAGGATATGGGTTTAACATTCGTAGTCTTTCTCCATTCACCATGTTTTGCCGCTTCTTCGTCAGATGTTGGTTCGCTCACATCAATATCTCCTATCACGGCTACATTGACAAATTTGGGGTTTGGCTTTCTAGCTCTCTTTGACATTCTGAAACCTTGTGGGGGATCATCAATATTCTCTAGTTGACTAGGTTGTTCTTCTTCTATGATTGTATTGTGAATCCAGTCTTCCAATGAACTCTTACCCTTCTCAAAAGAGTAAGATTGAGCTCCTTTAGAACCTTTTCCTTTTTTAGTCTCTGTAGATTTAATCTATTATTCACTAGACCTCTCTAGTGAGGTAGTTTATTGATGACATGAGCAATGATCTTCATACATTATGCCCAATACTTCCTAGGAACATTTTTTTGCATGTAGCATGCTTCTGCAAATTCCTGCCAAGTGACGGCTTTTCCTCTCCGCTACTCCATTTTGTTGTGAAGTACTTTGGCAAGTCAATTGGTGTCCTATACTATTCTCCATGAGAAATTGTGCGAATGTGAGACCTCCTGATACTATTCTCCTATACTATCACAACATCCCCTGATACATCCGGCAATACGAGACCTCCTGATGCATGAGATCCACTGCAGACTGCACCATCAAATGAGCACACCATTTGCATCGAGCTCATAACCAAAATCGCATTCCAGTCCCTCAGACTCACACTCCTTGGCCCCTTCCTTGGTCTGGCTCTCTTGCTGGAATTTTATTCGACATCACTCAACCTTTCCTCTACCTTCACACGAAAATATGCAACTAAACCTGTTTACCCTAAAAATAGCTGGATTCCTGGACTTTAATACACACAAGAGCCAGCATATGAATAGTGCAATCCACTACGGCAAGGAGTTATGCTCAAGGAAGCAGCGCAAGAAAATCTCAAAAGATAACACCAAAAGCTCTTCTAGCTCCGTCACCATACCAATTGTTGATCGTAAAGTTTGATCCACGAAAAAAAAACAAAGAAAATATGCTCCAAAGATTGTTCCTCCGGCTAACATACATGGCATCTAGCCAGAACAGCCTCCCTACTCCCCAAAGCCCCCATTTTGGCATGATACTAGAAAACAATTGGCAAGTGAAATTTTTTAATTTTGATGGCACTGAGAAATCCCACATTGATCCATCACAGACGCCTCTTGCTTCCACTGTCCAACATTCCATTCAGCTTGTCTGCTAAATGATGTCCAAAATTTACTCTATGCCTCCCTGAGGCATCATCATGCCATTTAATCCTATCTTCCACCTCCTTCCTCGTTAAATGTATTAACTTGATAGCCCAAACCATCATCACGGATAAACAACTCTATAAGCATTACAGACACCAAGCACCACTGTCATGTTCAATCAGCATCAAATAGTAGGGCTAGGCATGCGGGCTGGTCACCCGCGTGTTTGGGCTGATCCGCCTGCATTTGACCCAAATTTCGTTATGTGGGTGTGTCTGTGGGTGGGTGACGGGTTGTGCTAGGAGGCATCCGCCGGGTGGCGGATGGGTACACGGGTGACCCGCTCAACCCAACAGCTCCATATAGAAAACTCCTCAATAATATAATTTCTATCCAATTTCAGAACTAATTCGACATTTTTCCTTCCTATTCCACCATCTTGTCCCCCCCCCCCCCCCCCCCCCCGATAACTCTTTACCAATTATCTTGCCACTTGAAGTGATTCTCAAATATGGAGGGTTAATGGATGTTGAAATGGATTTTTATTTTATATATTTTACATATTGCCACTTAAAAATTATCAATCCGTTTAAGCGTGAGTTGAGGCATTTTATGGTCAAAATTCACCTGACCCACACAATGCCCACCCCTATCAAATAGCGCACATCCATGCATGATACTTTGTCATCCCCACAAAGGGCTGAACTAATCCCCGCCCACAATATAGATCCCTTCAGGAAATATTTTCCCTTATATATATTTCAATTTGGTAAGTATCCTCCACGCAATCTTGGCCAACAATGCCTGATTAAAGATCTCAAATCTCCTAAACCCAAGCTTATCCTCATGTTTACTGTGACACAATCTCTGCCATGATACCCAATGAAAATATTGTTTCTTTGCCCACCAATGATTGTTTTTGTTGTTCCATCCTTTGAGCTTCAATAAGAGCTTCTCATTTAGATACTAGAAAGTATCAGAGTTAGATCTTGCAATTAAAGATAACAATCCAAAATATCTATCCTACATCCCAATAGCTCCAACCCCAATCATTACGTCATAACAGTATCCTCTACCAATCCAATGCCTCGACTAAATGGACCACCAACTTCCACAGATTTACTTACTAGCCACTAGGACCCTCATATTCCCGAAGCACCCCCATGAGCAAATCACACTCTTGCAAAGACCCTTGCAGGATAAGATAAGAATCATTTGCAAAGAACAAATGAGATAATCGAGGCACTCTAGGACTATCACAAACACGTTTCAGATGTCCCTCCCTTAGTGCCTGCCTTAGGAGAGCTTCAAACCCCTCTGGACATAGCAAAAACAAAAAAGGAGACAGAGAGCCCTCTA